GAGGGTGAGAGAATTCACCAGAGCCAGAGCGCAGAACAGAACAGGCAGACTGAAGAAGTACACTGCTGAGGGGAGCAGTGGGCGGCAGGAGAGGTCTGAGGGCCATGTGGGACCCTCGCCGGTGGTCAAGGATGGAACCAGCGCTGCAGAGGCTGCGGGCAGCTTGGCCTCCCAACGCTCAACCACTGCGCAACCAGGGGAGGCCCCTGCCTATTGATTTCTGAGGGAATTCTTGAGTTCATGCAAAATATGAGCGATTTGAACATGTATCAGATTATTCTTTTTTAAATACTAAATTAAATTCTTGGTTTTGTGGGCCCAGTTCTCTTGCAGGAATGTAATTCCTCCCTTCAATTGCTTCACTGACGGTCAACAAATGTGTGAGGTTAGCTGTGTCCTAAAGGGACTTTTTCAGTCTTATGTGCACATCCTTGCAAACCAGAGACTTGCAAAATTCTTGAGATTTTGAAATGGGTAGGGAAGGGAACAGGGGAGTTACACAGAATTAAGTTAATTAAGTTGGGGGAGGAAGGTGGTGAGGGGACCTTAACAAACTCTTGAAATTTGTAAAGATACAGTTAAGAAATGAGAAGATAGGAGACAGGAGATAGATTTAATCATAAATTGTGCCAAAGTGTAACTGGAAGTTATGATACAGGGGATTTGCAGGCTAGTAACCTTTTGTTTTTTTTAAGATTTATTTTTATTTATGCACAAAAGAACTGGGGTGTAGGCCAGAGGTACAGGAAGTAAGACAGGAGAAATACAATAATTGACTGGGGTACAGGCCAGAGGTGCGGGCAGGTGAGAGGATTTACCAGAGACAGAGTGAGGAGCACAACAGGCGGACTGACTGAAATACACTGCTGAGGGGAGCAGCGGGCAAGACAGGAGAGGTCTGCTGCGCCATGTGGGCAGCTCCCTGGCCAGCTGGGGATCAAACTGCTGCTGCAGAGGCTGTGGATAGCTTCATAGCGTGGTGCTTAACCCCTTGCACCACCAGGGAGGCTCCTGGTGGTGCTAACCAATTCTAGAGAGGATCAGGCCACACTTGTGTTATTTTCCTCTTTATAGTATCCATCTATGCTTGTTGTGCATATCATCATTTTACTCAAAACACTGGTTACCAGTGACCCTTCCTTGGTTGGTAAACGCTGTGATTTAAAAAAAAAGGTTTTCAGGGCCTCCCCTGTGGCGCAGCGGTTGAGCGCTGGGTTGCGAAGCTGCCCCGCGGCCTCTGCGGCGCCGGTTCGATCCCCGGCTGCTCCCCGGCCACCGGAGGAGGGTCCCACATGGCGCGCAGACCTCTCCTGCCGCCCGCTGCTCCCCTCAGCAGTGTACTTCGGTCCTTCTGCCTGCTCTGCTCCCCGCTCTGGCTCTGGTGAATTCTCTCACCCTCCCGCGCTTCTGACTGTACCCAGTGCATGTATAAACAAACAAACAAACAAATAAATAAATAAAACATGCCTCTATTAAAAAAAAAAAAAAAAAAAAAAAAAAAAGGTTTTCAATCTAGCCTGACCTCTCTATGAACATAGATGACTGGAACGTGATTGTCCCAATATGCTTTTTACCCTCTTTTCCTCTTTTGGTTAGTTGGGGTTCTGGTCCTGTCTTTGCCACTCAGATCTGTACACTCTATATGCAAGTCACTTTGTCTATATGAGGCATACTTGACATGTGTGAATGCATTCTGTGAATTATAGCATTTAAAAATATGATTACTGAATTTGATGATTTCTAAATTTCTTCCAAGGTCTAAAATTTTAATTATATACATTGGATTCTATTTTTAGTGAATTCATCTGATCCAGAAGCCAGGAACTGCATTTTGGCACACTTTAAAAGATTCCTCCCATTTCACCAAAGCTGCTGATGATTCAATAAGTACAGAATGATTTGTAACTTTAATATAGCTGCAACAAAAGCAGGTACTTTTTCAATTGTTGAAGCTTAAAGTTACCACAAATGATACATGATTTAAGAAGACTGAGTCATAGGCAACACCTAAAAACTTCATATTCTACATTAAAAAGCAAACTTTTGCCCTTCTTAAATGGGACAAATTTAAAACTTAAGGTGAAATCAAATTTGAAAAGGTCACAACCACTCATGTGACATGTTAGTATATTTCACTGGATACCTTCTATGACGGAATAGTATGACTATAGCAGGCAGGAAACAAATGAGGTGGCCCACCAAGTATATACATAAAATAATAAAGATCAGAGTTGGAAGAGCTTCTAGAAGTCATTTTGAAATGGGGGTCCCAGCGTGCAGGCTTTTATTTATTTTTTTAAAGATTTATTTATTTATGCATACAAGAGCTGGGGTACAGGCCAGAAGTGGGGGGAGGTGGGGGAGAGGATTCACCAGAGACAGAGTGGGGAACAGAACAGGCAGACTGACCAAAGTACACTGCTGATGGGAGCAGCAGGTGAGTCAGGAGAGAGGTCTGCTGCGCCATGTGGGTTGTTCCATGGCTGGCTGGGAATCGAACTCATGCTGCAGTGGCTGCGGATAGCTTCATAGGTTGCGTCTTAACCCTTGCGCAGCCAGGGAGGCCCCATGCAGGCTTTTAAAGGCATACAAAAATTCAAACAAAAAAACAAAAGGACAGGTAGTAACCATTTTAATTTTACCAAATAAAGTTACTAAACAACCAACCAAAGAAAAACCAAAAATCTCTAACATTAATACCATTTTACAAAGGAGCATTTGAATGAGGTAAAGATAAAAATCTCAGAATAAAGTACAATTTGAAATTAGATGAATAAAAAAATACATCGTAATGCTCTTATTTTTCAAATCTCTATGGAAAAAAGTAAATGTGTGGCCATGCATACATAAACCTTGGGGAAACCCTAAACTAATCCACTCTGCACATACCCCTATTCCCTCCCAAGAGGTAAAACTCTTTTATTTATGCATATAAGAACTGGGGTGCAGGTCAGAGGTACAGGGGGGTGAGAGGATTCTCCAGAGACACAGTGGAGAGCAGATCCACTGAAATATATTGATATGGGGAGCAGGGGACAAGACAGGAGAGGTGGGTGGGAACGGACATTGAACTCAGGAGGCAGTGGCTGGCAATATAATCCCTGCGCCACCAGGGAGGACACAAAAATTCGTTTAAAATTATATAACCACCCTTTACTGGGAACTTCTCAAGCCAAGGAATCTATTAAGTTTGGGATGGCTATGGTAGAAAATCAACAGAAAAGTAACTATTTCCGGAAACTTCAGAAGCTTTAACTCGGCTTTTTTTCTTTTTTTTTAATTTTAGATTAGACTCTAGCAGCAGAGAATTTTAAGTAGGCCAATCATGCTTCAGAGTCAGCAAAGGAGAATGTGTAAATAGTGCTGATTTGAGAATCAGGAGTCTGGGTTTTGGTACTGCCTCAGACTTCGTGCTAAACCGTAGGGGAAGTCTCCTCTTTCTTTTTTCAAATTCAAGACATTTAGCTTCTTACGACTAAAAATGTCTCAGTCAGCATGAGTAACACAGAAATTTTTTTTTTATCTTTTTTTTAAGATTTATTTATTTATTTATACAAGCACTGGGTACAGTCAGAAGCGCGGGAGGGTGAGAGAATTCACCAGAGCCAGAGCGGGGAGCAGAGCAGGCAGAAGGACCGAAGTACACTGCTGAGGGGAGCAGCGGGCGGCAGGAGAGGTCTGCGCGCCATGTGGGACCCTCCTCTGGTGGCCGGGGAGCAGCCGGGGATCGAACCGGCGCTGCAGAGGCTGCGGGAAGCTACGGGCAGCTTCTCAACCCAGCGCTCAACCGCTACGCCACCGGGGAGGCCCGTAACACAGAAATTTGAGTTAAGATTTACCTTCCAGGCTGAACCCCACTGCTAATTACTTGATCAGCTTTCAAAGTTAAGTCTACATTTTCCCCAATTCCTATTTTAATGAAATTATTTTATTTGGGGTAGATTTTCTCTTTAAATTTCTAGAGGTTTGAGTCATTCACCCAAGTTTGATTCTTCTGGTAACTATGATGGTATCAAACAAGGATCTTCCTTTTATGATCATTAGTACTACCAAGCCCAATTTCCTCAGGTCAAATTTTGCAAACCAAAACGTGGTCAAGATTTGATTGTTAGACAAATTCTATTTAAAAACTTTTTCTCAAGCTTTAGTGAAAAGCTTTGCTGTGTCAACTTTCAAACGTTGTCCATTTCACCATGTAATAGTTATTTCCACTGTATTTTTTTGCTAAATACTGCAGTTTTAGGCACGACCAAGATACAGCTCTTCAGGAAAGGATATTTTTAGCATGTGCAACTTTTCCACGGCTGTAAATTAACTAAATTAATTTTCCACCATTTCTATTACTAAAATTACTAAAATATTGGGTTTTTTTGGGGGGGAATCAAATATACCATTGGGGCAACAAAACAAAGACTCAGGGGGCAAGGTAACGCCTGTTTTCTCTCTTTTCACCTCCTGAAAGGTCTCCCAATACTTCGCAGACAGCAGACTTCTAATTAAGACTAGTGAACTAGTCTAAAACCGAGAATCTTGAACAACCCCAGCCCACCCAGGGCTGTTTTTTTCTTCCTCTCCACCAGAGGCGACAACCGCTTTCAAAAACAGAAAATGCGTTGAACAGGCCGGTCCGGGGAGTGGAGCGAGCAGAGATCAAAGGTCAAAACCGCCTCAAAAACCCGCCTCAGACAAAGAGCAAAGGTCAATACCCAATTCCTAAGGGGGCCTGAAGCCTCCATGTTCCACGAAAAATGAGGGTGACGCCTTCCTAACATGTCGTGGAGCCCCGGGCTCCGCGGGCTTTCACAGACCGGGTACCCCTAGGTGACTAACAAACAGGTAGCCAGGATAGAAGACCTGGCGACCGGAAGTGGAAGTGAGCTCGGGGTGGGGCTGAGGCGAGGCCACCAAGCGCCTGCGCAGTCAGCAAAACCGGCAGTACGCCTGCGCAGTTGGGCCGTGACGGGATGACGCTCGGAGCGTGGGCTGCGACTCCCACGGATCCGGTTCCGCCCTCCTCTTTCGGCCGAGCCTCCCGGGCGAGAGCCCGAGCTCCTTTCCCAGAGTGCCCTGCGCCGTGAAGAAGCGGCTCCCGGGGACTGGGGGCATTTTGTGTGGGCTGGAGCCGGAGTAACAAGATGGCGGCGTCGGCGGAGTGACAGGGGTCCCTCCGGGCGGGAGCCGGCGGCAGTGGTGGCAGCGGTATCGCCGCCCTAACTCACCGCACCCCCTTTCCAGCTCGCGACGTCGCTGCGAAATCGAGGCAGCGGCGACCACCCAGAAACAAGTGGCCCAGCCTGGGGACCGCGAGAACCCCCTCAAACTCCGGCCTGGCAGAAAGAAACCTGACTGAGCGGCGGTGCTCGGGTCCTCCTGGGCGGTTTCTGGGCCTTGTCACGTCGAGAAAGAGCCAGCTTTCAGCTTCCTGCCTCCCTCCTCCGCTGCCTCGCTTCGTGGACCAGCCCTAGGGCCTCGGTCTCCCCTTCGAGGTGTCGGGGCTTGGCCCCAGCCTCCATCTTCGTCTCTCAGGATGGCGAGCAGCAGCGGCTCGAAGGCCGAATTCATTGTCGGAGGGAAATATAAACTAGTACGGAAGATCGGGTCTGGCTCCTTCGGGGACATTTATTTGGCGATCAACATCACCAACGGCGAGGTAATCACTTGGGGTGGGGTTCACTACGACGCTGCGCCTGTCCTCACCGCCCCCCAACCCCCGAACTGCTCTGGCCTCTTCCCCTCGCCCGCACTGGGTTGCCCAGAGGGAGCCGGTTTTCCTGGCTTAGAAACCTCTCCCACTCTCTTTCCCTACAAGGGAAAGAATCCTATAGAAAAATGGGGTGAACGATGAAGTTTCCTAGCTTGTTAAAAATGGTCCTTAATGGAACTTTTAAAACCGTCGTTGACGATGAAAACGGCAAAAATCCCCTGTCTGTGATCCCTATGTTTGTTGGTCTCGTGTATGTATATTTAGTTGTACTGGGGTTCTTGTTCCAATTAGGACAGTTTCCGATCTCCCGGTTGCTCCATAATCTCTCATTACGTTTTTTGGATGAATCATTTTCCTGCACTTTAGAGGACGTGCGGATTTCGTCACTACCCCCTGAAGAGACCTTTGAGGCTGCTAGCCTCGTTTTATAATTACAAAGGGAGCTTTCTCTTCCCGGCCTCTCACTTCCACCTTTCTAGTCGCAGGTTGGAGCTTCGCTAATGTCTCCCCTCCGTTCCCAAGTGACATTGACTCCGTAGGGATGTTGATGCCATCCTTCCCTCTTTCCCCTGCAGGAAGTGGCAGTGAAACTAGAATCTCAGAAGGCCAGGCATCCCCAGTTGCTGTACGAGAGCAAACTCTATAAGATTCTTCAAGGTGGGGTTGGCATCCCCCACATACGGTAAGCACCCATAAACAAATAGGCGATCCCCAGAGGAAATTACGATGGGGAAAATGGGTCGAGGCAGGTAAGAGAAACAGCTGAATCCGGGCCTTGGTGTTTGAGTTACCCGACTTGCCCTTAGCTGGTGGATTCCTGTGAACCGTAAGTTGCCACAATCACAAAGTAAATTTTAGTTTGCCAACTTAGTTTAGAATTTCAGTATGTTCCATTGAGCTAGCGACATTCTCCCCGCCAGGCTTTCGATTGCAGTTAAGTGTGCGGGTCGTCTTTGAGCCCAAGGCACAGGCTTGGCTACTCTTTTTTTCCTTCAGCACCTCTGATGTTCTTAGGTTTATCCAGTGAAGTGGATTTGAAGGTGCCGAAGTGACCGTGCTCAGCCAGTTGCTATTGGAGCTGGCTTGGGAAATGGCTGCTCTTTTGTTGTGTTTTTGTTCCAACATGTCTTCCTCCTCCGCTTAGAAAATGGCGGAACGACGTGACTCAACCACCTATTCCTGCCCTTTTCTCTGCTTGGGTTCACGAATCATGCTTCCTTGATTCCCTCCTTAGCAGCCCCGAGTGAATTAAGCCGTTGAAAAGCCCAGAATAAAGCTGTAGACGGCTGTGGGGTTCAAGGAGGGTGTTGGCATAATGATAGTCTGTTTGTGATCTCTGCAGCAGATGCGATGTGCAGTTGTTAAATTGTACTGTGCAAAATCCTTTATATTCCTCTTAAAGGTGTGAATTACTTTTTCATGAGTGGTAGTGTTTGCTGCGTTTCAGTCCGTGTACTAAATATTTATGGGCAATGGCATAGGTTTGAGTTGCGCCAAGTGTAGGAAATGTACTCAAATCAGTTGTATTAAAAGAAAACTTAATCATGTAACCACAGTTCGATGAGTAACTTTAACCTGTTGAGCTACTTGGTCAGCAACACAATTGGGATGATTGTGGCCCTTTTTTTGGGAATGGAATATTGGTAAAAGCAAATAAAAAGGTGGCCAGATAAAGAAAGTGAATTCTTTTAAATGGGTTGCCTTACAGGGTTTCAGAATAGTTTGATTTTTAAGATTAAAGATGTCAGAATATCCGAGGTTAAAATGTAGTTTAAAACCCAGACACTTTGCAGCAATTACTGAAAATACCATTTGCAGTATTATTCTAGAGGTAGAATAAATGAACTTCTGTTTACTTTCTAGCTTTTTCTTTTCTAGTTTCTATTCCTCAAATTTTAAGGACTGAATTACATTAATTCTGATGAGGAAACACTATTAACATAAAGTGACACTACTCTTAAAAGATTTCTGATGTTAACAGACCTTTTAATGGAGAAATTGAATGATAGAATTTTCTATTGCTTGTGAGCAAATAAATTATTTGGCAGAAAATTCCGATTTATGAGGTAAAGATTAATGTGGAATCTGAGAAGATACAAATTTGAGATTTTAAATGATTCCTATCCTTTAGAAAACTCTGTTGTGTGGGAAAATAAATTTGTTATTGTGGAAGAATAAAAACCTTGATTAAAATATCTAGCTTTTTTTCCTCAGGGGAAAAAAAGAAAAGAAACATTAGTTGTGTTAGCCTAAACAACTGAAGCTCCTTACCCTTATTATAGTTTAATCCCCTCTCCACTTGTGGTGTCCCCACTGATTTGCTTTCCTTCACTCTAGCTTTTCCTAGAATTTTATAGGTATCAGTCAAACACTATGAAGTCATTTCTGTCTGACTTCTCTCCCTTATAATGCTTCTGAGAGTCACTTGTGTTGGGAGGTTTTATAAATTTTACAAATCAGGTTGAGTTTCTTGTATTTTAAATCATTTTCAGAAAAGTATTAAGCATCAGGCGTTTTTAGTGCTAACCCCAAATTAAATACATCCCCTTTTATCTGCATGCTTATTACATATTACAACACTAACAGAGAAGACCAATAAGAACATGTGCATAAACACATGAATCAATGAAATTAACTTGTGCAAAATAATAGGTGTCTATTATAGGATGAGTATAGAGAGAGTTGTGGTAGTCATAAACTGTCTGGGTGGAGCTATAGAGAGATTAACCTGGCTTTCAAATTAAAGACTTGCTGGGAGAGGAGATGCGATTTCAGGATCTGCCACTAAGGAAGAAAGCTGGGTGAACTGGTTGGGGAGGGTATCCAAGAATAGAGTGTGGCTTCTGGGAGTAGTCTCTACGACAGAATTAAGTAACTGACTAGGGTGGAAAAAGAGTAAATTCATTTTAGGAGTGGTAGAATCCACTTCATAGAAACAAAAGTGGTTTATTGGTTTTAAAGTGAAGTGTTTTCCAAACGAATGGAAAAGGATGAAAAAGACGTAATGCATACAGGCATTCTTGTTTTGTTGAGGGGGATTGCTGTCTTCCCACCTCACTATTTACACATCACCTATATATGGTATACAGTTAATATATTTACTTGGTAAATTTTTGGTTAACTATAGTTTTAGCTTGATTAAATAAAACAGTTTTGTTACCAATTATTTTAGAAGTGATAATAGTAATTTTAAAGTTTTAGATATTGCTGAATTTATGCTTAATTTTTCCACCCCACTCCTTTTTTTTTTTTTTAAAGATACCATGGGAGCTCCTAAAGTTTTGTACTGCTCTGCAAAGCAGACCTTACAGTTACTGTCTAAGAACCTTACTAAGAAATCTGTTGTTAAATAGAAGCCAAGCATCCTATATAAAAAGCAAAAAAAAAAAAAAATTATGAAAGGAGGATGACTTTTGAGTCTCTTGATTTTTTTTTTTTTTCTTTTTTTTCTTTTTAAAGAAACTGAAATCCTTGAGTCTGGTGAATTGACATCCAGGAGCTCATTTAAAATTACTGCAGGGCCTCCTTGGTAGCCCTGGGGTTAAATACACAGCACTATCAAACTCTCTGTCACCGGCCACTGCAACATGAGTTTGAGAAAACCCACATGGGACAGCAGATCTCTCCTGTCTTGCCCACTACTCCTCTCAGCAGTATATTTCAGTAGAACCTCCTGTTCTGCTCCCCACTGTGTCTCTGGTGAATCCTCTCACACCCTCCCCCTACACTTGTATGCATAAATATGTAAATCTTTTAAAAAAAATACAGAAAATTACTGCCTTTCTCTCATAACCGTCCCATACTTTGTGCCGTGCTAAATTGAATTAACAAATTAATGTGTTCTAAAGAAACACAATTATGATATGAGGTAACTCAGGTTGTCCCATGTGGTTATCTACTGAGTGATGTGAGTTCAGTCAATCCCTTATTCTCTTTGGGCTTATACATTTCCTCATCTATAAAATAAAAAGGATTTTATTAAGTTAGTGATTTTATTATTTCTTGGGTGGAAAAGGTGGCTGCTGGTAGACAGGTATAGCTATGCCTTTTCTGTAGGAAGACCTTTTGCATGCTGAGCTTTGGGGTGGACTTTTGTTTGAAGAAAGCTCCCCACTTAAAAGTCATTGACCTACTGGATCTCAGAACTTTCAGCTCTGCAATTTTAAGACATATTCTCAAATGACAGTAGCTAGAAAGCATGTCATCATGTTTAATGTTATAGCTAGAGCTTACCTTTGAATGTTCTTGTAGTAGTAAGGCACCACATGCCACTTTAAAATGCCATCTTCATAGGGTGAACCATAGTTTGATCATTTAGAAGGAAGTAAATTAATGAAGATGGGAAAGGACATGGGAGAATTGTTGCCTTGTATTTAATTACCATTTTTGCCCTCTTTGTCAAGCATTCTAGAAGATATTTATAAAGTAGTAGTTAACCTTTATTCTTCATCTTGACTTTTTGGCACTGAACTTATGTTCTGTAAATAATGCTCTGATCAGAGGAGAAAGATGACATCTCTACTGCCTGTGTCTGTATTCTTGATAGATACATTACACACCTCATTAGATGCATAAGAAATGTAATTTTAACTCACAGGGTAACTGAATCCATGGTATATGTTCTAAAGGTGTTTTATACTGTCTTATAGTAGATATCTAATTATGGGATAGTGTGTTGATGCTTAGATAGCATTTTTGAGCTGCTTGAAACCTGAGAAATAATAATCCAACAACTCCTTTTTACAAATAAGATGCTTGTGTCACAGGGGGGTTACTAGAGTCTCTTAACTCCCCATTATCTTGTGAGCCATTTTCACCTTTATGTCAAGGTCATATATATCATGCCTGCTCACATACCTCCACATCTTTGCACTTGATGCTGCAGAGCCATAGTTTGCTGCTTCATTGTATGGCACTTAGGTCATACAGAGAAACGGAAAATCTCTTCTATAAATATAAATAATCTATTGTTTCTACCACTTAATTGGATGCTTATAATTCTTATTCTCCCATATGAGGAGATGAATCTGTGAATTCATAGATTGAAGGATATGAACTTTAGTTGGCAATTATTAATGTGCCTCTTAATTTGGAGCAAATACTTATGAAACTCTTGTTTGGTACCTGATTTTACTACCTTGAATTTATTCATTTTTAGAGATAGATCATTTTGTGTGGAAGTATATTAAGCTATACCTAAAGTTCTAGTGTAAGGGTTTTGTCATGATTTTGTCAATGTTGATTAGGAACTTGAATCTCAACAAGTCTATAAACAATTAGAATTTGAAACACATGATACAAATTTATTGTTTTAAGCTTATTCTTAAAATCAGTTCTTTGAGTTTAACAGCAAGTTTTCTGGGTTTAAGTGAGTACCTTAATAGCCTTAACAATATAAGTGAATATGTAGGTAAAGTGATGTTTTTGTTAATGTTCCTGTTTCTGCTATCATTTCAGGTAGTTCTTAGAATTTTGGATGACCGGTCACCGCATAGGGTCTTTATGGATATTGGGGTTTTTTTGTGTTTTTTTTTTTTTTAAATAAGGTATAATTTACCTACTAGAAATACACAGATCTTAACCCCACCATTGAATTCGTTTTGTCCACACCCTCTATTGAGATGAAGAATTTTTTTTATCCTTCAATCTTTGGTAAACTACATTCTTTGACAACATGGATTT